ATGTGTTTATTTATATATATATATATATATATATATATATATTAATGTTATTATTTTAGCCACACATTTTTTTAGAGTTTTAAACTAGAATGGTTACAAATTTGAACTTTATATTTAAAAAAATATATTTCAAAGATTGATATTTTTTTTTTTGTTAAATAGGATCTGCTGAACACGGAAAAAACCAACTAAATCAGAGATTCACACTGCCTTAGAAAAAGATGACAAAACATCGGAGGTTTCAACATAACAGAAAAATTAGCTATAGATCTAATAAAGAAATCTGTCAAACAGTCAGCTAAACTATTAGTTTCACGTAAACTCTTATGAGTTTCAAAGATTAATTTGATAACATCTAAAATTGCCAAACTCTCGAGCTAACCGTAAACTCTTATGAGTTTATGATCCTAAGTAAATAAAACAAGTTAATTTTATATTAAACTCTAGTTAATTTTATATTAAACTCTTTTTCGAATAATTTTTTTAAAGTAATGTAAATTCTTACAAAGTTTCTAATCAAGAAACGAATTTGTGATCAAATGTAATTTTTTCTCTCATTGACTTTATAATATTAGTATTTTATTATGATTTAAATGATTTGAAAAAATCAACTCTTTTTTAAATAATTTGATTATTTATATAGTTTAATCCTATTCAATACTAATGTACTATAACACTTTATTACTGTAGTTTAGTATTTCAACCTTTTTATGGAATTGAAATGTTTAGGATTTTAAGTATATTATATTATGCATATATGTCATTAATGAGTTTTTTAATGTTATTTTTATAATAAGTAAACTCTGACGACTTTATACCGGAGCCTACAAGTTGAATTTACAAAAATTTTACAAGTTTATGTAAATTTTTGAGTTTAACAACTTTCGCATGGTGTTTCAAATTCAATAACTAATTTGAATGTTTCTTCCGCATCTAATAGTGTACATTACTTTTTTATATTTTGTTCCAAAAAAGTCATGCCATGGTTTGTGCAGTTTGAGTGTAACGCACCCACCTCCTAGTGGTGCATTACAGTTTTTTGACCAAAGTAGGGTTGTATGGGAAGTTATTTACGTAAATGGTGCTGTTTGAAAACTATTTACGCCTTTAGGGCTGTTTACAACGGTGTCGCTATGGGCCATAGTGACACCAATGCCACGTGTTTTTTTTTTTTGTGTGGGGTGGGCTCGAATGAGCCAAAACAGTGTCGCTATGGGCTGAGGCGACACAGTTTGTACGCCATTAAAAATTGTGTAGCCCATAGCGACACCATTTAAGAAAAAAAACAAAAAAAAGTAAAATAATTTCTAAATTTAAAAATAATGAAGTGAACTTATATATTTATAAAAATAAAAAATATTTATTTAAAAACGTAATCATAAAAAATAAATATATATATATAATTATTTTACAAGTGGCGCTATGGCGACACTACTAATTTGTGTTTTTTTTTAGTTATTATTTTCTTTATTTTAAAATTATTTTTATAATACCAGTTAAAAATGTTAATTTGTAATTATAAAGTTAATTTTTCTCTTATTAGTTTTATGTATATATATTTTTTTCGTTTATTATTTTATGACAAATTAAATAATGCATTTATTTATTTTTTTAAGTGGCGCTATGGCCTATAGCGACACTGTGTCGCTATAGGCCACAGCGACACTATTTAATTTGTTTTTTTTTTTAAAAATTATTTACTTATTTTTATTTTACCATTTGTTTATTTTATATTAGCAGTTAAATAATATTGTAATTGTAAACTTAATTTTTCTGTAATTAGGTTTGTGTATATATATTTTTTTCCTTTATTATTTAATGTTTTTTTTAGTGGCGCTATGGCCTATAGCGACACTGTGTCGCTATAGGCCACA